ACACCAGTCATCGCTGTCTTGAGCTTTGTGCTTAGTCTGGGCCTTCTCTGGTGTAACTACACAGATCTGCACTGGTTCTGGATGCAGCCATGCAGTTCAGGAATGGCATTACTGGCATGAGTCTGCACTCCCTGAAGGTGATTGGAATGGGAGCCAGGTGATGATGAAGGTGACGATGAAGGTGACGGAACATGATGGCTGTGCAAGAACAAATGGATGTCTCCCAGAATTAGCTAGGGCCATGGTTTCTGGGTGAGTCAATGGATCATCTAGAAAAGAGGCTACATGTGGGGAAGCTACATATGAACTCTCAGCATGATGAGAGCAAATGCAATGCTTTTAAATAACCAGCAACAGCTGAGGAAGAAGAAGAAAAGCTGCCACTTTTCACCTCATTCTTGAGATGGTCGGTTTTGGGTTCTGCAACCTCTTCTAGTCTCAGCATTTCAATGAGGATGTTAAAAAGTGAAAATGGTTGAGAAGTAATGCTATCTGTGAAGACATCTCTAGTGATGAGCACTTAAATACCAGCCTTTCTACCTCAAAGGTAGAACACAGGAGAGTAAATCTCTGCCTGAGACTACCTATGTGGAGAGGAAAATCTCCAGGCATCAGAGATTCTTCAGCAGTCTGTGAGTATCCTGGACTCAAAAATGAAACAAACTGAAACAGAGCACAGAGAGCTAAGCTGCACCATTTAGAAGAACTTATCCAGCAAATCTGCCATTCCTGCAAGTCTTGTAATCAATACTGCTGTCATAGAGAATAGCTCACTCAGAAATTAAATGCTAAATGAAGAACTCCATGAAATCCTATGCTCTGTATTATCTAAGATAGAGTAGATGATTGTAAATGTCCCCTCGGGTCTTAAAAATCTATGAGTATCGTTAAAAGGATAGGAACTTCTGGAGACTAAACAAGATGTCCTTAAAATGTTAAGGGATGTGCTTTTCTTGCAAGTTTTGCCTGAAGAATGACTAAATAATTTAGCCTAGAACTGGAAATAAGGTTGCAAAACTATCAAGTAAGCAAGCCCTAGAAATATCCAACTTCCTGCTAAATTTCTATTTTCCTTAACTCCATGTGAAAGCATATACAGCCAACAGAAAAACTTTGGGCTTGAAGGGGGAAGAGTAAATCTCAACGGGGACACGGAGAGGAGACCAGCTCCTCCACAGTCACATCTTGTGAATGACAGATATTATTACACCCAGATGTACACCAGTGCTCTACAGAAATCTATTCTTTGAGGCTCCCCAGGTTCTGATGTCCTGCATAACCATGAGAGAGAAGTGGTGTGGCGATGCATTTCTGCACTCTGGGACCTGGATAGTGCATACTGCTTAGTTCAGCCTCCTTATTAACTAGCTGGAGTTTGTCATTCTGAATGTCAGGACAGTTTTATAATGTGGGGCTCCAGAATGACATGTTGTCTAATCCTCATTTCCTTGGGAGGTTTTTTTCTCCATTGCTGCAGCTAGCCATGTAGCAGAGCACAGAAAGCCAGGCATTCCCATAAAGCTCATGCTATATGGCTCATCACTGCAAAATATTTTCCATCATATCACTTCAAGTAGATGCTTAAGTCACTGGGAACATAGCTCATCCTCTTTATGGAGCTGTTCTTCATTCAGTGAAAAGGGGTTTCAGGACCATCTCTGACATTCACAGCAGAACTTCCCTCTTCTGCACAGATCAGCAAGGGTCAGGGCTGGTTAAGACCTTATTTTCTGCAGTTGGACCTGTTGCAAGGCTTGTCCTCAAACTGCTAGCATCAAGGAGGTCTTCAGTTTGAATCTCTTCAGCACATTCTCATTTCAGATGGGCAAGAAATACAGTGTGATCACATTTATGAGCACCGCATAACCACAAAATAAGCCTAGCATCAGTTTCTCCCTAAGTGCTGCCTTTGGGAAGCAGTGTCTCAATTTTCCTATACTTTGAGAAGACACTGTCCTCCTCCCTCCCTCCTAATAGCCGCTTCTCTGCATCCTTCTCTGGGCCATTCCTCCCTTATCAGAGTTCTTACCCAGCCTGGCACTAATCCTACATACAGGACACCGGCAGCTCTGGGCTCTGGTCTTCTGAGTTCTTTCAGTGTTTTCCAGACAGACAGCAAAGTGCTGCTGTTGAATCTAAACTATAGAGTGAGCACATGGTGGGGAGGATATGACCAGTCTATGGCACATCCTGGAATTACTTTTTTTTTTTTTTTTTTTTTTAAACAATAATTTGCTAGGAAATTGTCATTTAATTCCCGTGCTTTAGCATGAGCTTAGAAGGAAATAGAGTTTGATTTGAACTAAATTGCTGCTGCTTTCCAAGGTCCTTGCATACAGCCCCTGAGCTACAATGCAAATAATAAACATCAGCAGCTGATGACAAACGAAACTGAAGGTTGGAGGTCAGATACCCCATCCTCCAGAGTGCCTGCGAATTGCCTTCACTCCCTTTGCAGCTGCCTGTCTCTCCCTGAGACCCAAGCAGTGCTCGATATGCAGCACAACCACTGTTAGGGCAGCACAACACTGGTGCAGAGAATGATGCTACCACCGCCAGGCCAGGTGTGGATGCTAGGGGATGGATGCTCAGGGGATGGATGCTGGGGGATGGATGCTCTGGGCACAGATGCTAGGGGATGGATGCTAGGGCAATAGATGCTGGGGGGTGGATTCTCAGGGGATGGATGCTCGGAGGCGCATTGGCACGCACACAGCATTCATTAAAAGCGGATTAGGTGGAACAAACAGACCAATGCTGCAGAAAAGGAATGAATGCAGAGCGCAGGAATTGTTGGAGGAGTGGGTGACAGGAGCTGATTGGGGAAGCTGGGGCTCGGGTGGTGTGTGCGGAGCCGGGCTCTTTGCCTCAGCAGTCCCTCTTAAAGAACTATCAGTAAAAACGATCAGAGGGTATTTGGTGACAGGAAGATTAACCAGGCATGAAAAGTTAAAAGAACGCTGCTCAAAAGTGAGTTAATTAATTTTTTAGGATGAAAAGCAGCTTTCCGTGTTAGCCTCTGGGTTCCTCTCCCCCAAACATTAGACAAAATTGCATTGTTTACAAAAATTTATTAATACAAACTTTACACACTTTATATAACAGTTATCAAAGTCCTAATTATAGATATCAGGTCTGTCATAATACTTTGCTGAAGTTCTTTTTATATCCATTTGCACACAAAATAAGTTCTCTGAGACTAACATCTACCTAAACTATCACTGCGTCTCAGGTCTGCTCGAGGCTCGGTAAGGCTGTTGGCGTTCCTAAAAAGTACACAGAGGATAACCGAGGTGATCACTTGGTGATGCTCGCAGCTAGCCACGGAACTCGAACAGAGAAGGTCAGAAACAAAACTTCAGGAGAGCTCTATGGCATCACACCACAGCCGACACGAACACAGCAAACTCTGCCCATCGCCAAAGAACAGAAAGAAGTACGACTAAAACGCAAGCCGATGTGTTGCAGCATCGTAGGGCCACTAGATAGCCATCCGTCAACTCGTGGCGATTGACAAGGTGAAGAGAAGGCACGAAAGCTGCAAAACCGCTCCCCGCGTCCCTCGGCCAAGCTGTGGGGCGGGCCAAGCTGTGGCAGCGGGGTTCGGAGCCGGCCCGCCCCGTCGGGCCCTGCCCCGTAGCGCAGCCCCGCAGCGCGAGGAGCCGGGGCCGCCCCCGGGCTCGGGCGGTGCCTTTGGGAGCGGCCCCTCCGCGTCCTCCTCCGGAGCCCGCCCCGAGCGCTCCGCGGGTGCGCGCCGAGACAGGAGTCCGTACAGAGAGAGGTGGGGTGGAAATGGTTTATCTCGTTCGAAACCGGACCACAGGTGAACAGTACACATTCTTGTATGACAAAAGGTGGGTTTTATGAAATCAATTTTACTAAGCAATAAGCCAGAATGTAGAAAAATACAATTTTACCTCCAAACTCAATAAACAAGGAACAAAAACGTTCGTCGTAGTGCATAATTCTTTAGTGGTAGCTACAACAGGGGTTCCTAGACTTGTACAACAGAGCTTGCATAAAACAGAACAAAGGAGTGAGAGAGCGTTCACAACCGTTTTGTCGGGTATTTTTTTTTTTTTTCCCCAAAAGAACATAACCTGAAAAGGTGACTCGGGCGGCTTAACAGCGCTCGGAAAGTGCCAAGAGAGGAGGAGAGGCGGGAAGGGCTGCGGGAAAAGAGCAAAACAATCCAAGGAAAAGAGCGACTCCGACCGACAAACGCACAGGCGAGAGACTCGCTGGCTGCGGGCGAGGGGAGCACGGAGAGCAGCTCAGAGCCACGCGCGGCGCTTCGCAGCCTGCATCGGAGGGGGAGCGGGGCCGCTCCCTCTGCCCCGCACGGCCCCGCACTGCGCCGTGGGCGCTCCGCCCGCAGCCGGGAGAGCGGTGCGCTTGGCACCCGCTGTCCTCGCTGCGGGTCGGCATCGGGGGGCCTGGAGGGCTTGGGGGTCTGATTTTTGGTTGTTTTGTTGTTGTTGCTGTTGCTGTTGGTTTGCTCGTTTAGCTATTCTCCCTCCGATAGGCACAATTTGCATCGAGCTGTTGCTGAATCCTCCTCTGCGCTCATCGCTCGAGGAGGCACTGATACGGATAGGACCAGAATCAAAGAAAAAGGGGGAAAATAGAGAGAGAGATCGAAATCTCGAGGCCGGGGGGACCCCATCCTGCTGAGCCCTCCCTATGCACAGCGGCACACGGTGAAAACTGAGGTCTTCGCCCCCGTGGCGAATAAAAACAGTGCCCTTTTCGTTTCCGTTACAAAAATAGGAGCGCTGTTCAAAGCGGTGATTGTCTTTTTTCGTCTATTTATTTTCTATAAAAACATAAACAGCTCAGGCGAACTCTCGTCCTGGTGCAGCTTGGTATGAAGAATCGCTCTTTAGTATTCGTATCAGTATTTATATATATATATTTATATCTCATATATAACTCAAGGATTGGTCCACAAAGTAGATCTGTGCGTTTCTCTAGTGCTTTCGTACAAAAGAAAAACCATATTATTATCAAAATATTCATTTAATGGCTTTACTTCATACATAAATACATGTTTGGGGAACACGGGAGCGGCGGTCTTTCCGTCACTTTGGAAATGACTTTTGTTTGGGTTTGGGTGGTTGGGTCTCTCTCTCTCTCTCTCTCTCTCAATCTCTCTCTCTCTCTCTCTCAGGACTACGCACGGCAGCGGCGGTTGCTCATCGCTACAAATACGCTACTCGGCGTCCTTTGTTTTTAACTCTTTGTTTATACCTTTTCCCCAGGACGGCCGCTAAGTATTTCTTGACAGCCATTTGTTTCCGGTAGCGGCTGTAGCTGTCCGTGAAGATGCCGTCTATGTGCCGCTTGCTGAGCGGTTCCGCCTCGTCCCCCAGGCCGCTGCTGGCACCGCTGCAAAGCACCGAGAAGGACACAACCATCAGAAGGAGCCCTCCCTCCGCACCCCAACCCCAACCCCGGCCCTAACCCCCAGCCCCGGCCCTGCATCGCGCGGCAGACAAAGGGCGGGGCGGTGCGGAGCGAGGCGTCTCCCCCACGCCATGCATACATGCATACATCGCGTTCCCGGAGGGGTTCGCTCCGATGGCACCACCCGGGGCTGCCCCGCGAGAGGGACGGCCGAGCCCCGGGTGCGGCTGCTGCTCGCTCCGGCAAAGCACCGCGGGGAAATGGGGGCGCCCCGCCCCGGCCACCGCCCGCCGCGCTTTGTTCGCTCCCGTCCCCGCCGCAGCCCTTACCCGACCCGCTTGGCCATCAGGGAGTGCAGGTATTTCCTGGCGGACAGCTGGCCCAGGACTTTCCTGTAGGCTTTGCTGAAGATCCCATCGGCGTGCCTGCCGGGGAGCACGGCCCGTCAGCGCCCATCACCGAGGCTCGCCCCGCGGCACTGGGCCGCCGCCGCCCGTCCTCCCCGCATCCCCCCCCGGCCCCGCTCCCCGCAGCACCGCGGCCCTTCTCCTCCCTACCCGGCACCCCGGCCGGAGGTACCCACCCTGGGCCCGGCTTCATGACCCCTCCCCGACTCCGCGCTGGCCGGGTGGGTCGGCATTACGATTATTTTCGCCCGTTGGGTGTTTTCCCTTTCCCCCCGCCCCGGTCCTATCCGCCGCCCCGCCGTCACCTCTTTCCCAGCGGGTAGTACAGCGTGTACACCTCGCCCAGCGCGGACGGCGGCCCGGCCACCCCCAGCGGCTCCTGATCGTAGGCGAAGTCCTGCAGGGTGTTCCCGTCCTCGTCGTACACCTCCTCCTCCAGCCTGCGGTAAGCACGGGCGGGGCTCAGCCGGACGTCTCCAGCCCCGTCCCCGCCGCGGGACCGTGCGCCGACGGAACGGGGCTGCACTCGGCCCCACCGGGCTCTCCCCGCGCCCCGCTCCTCCCCGCCGCGCCCGGAACCGGGGTGGGGCCTGCGCCCGCCGCTGGGTTTCGTTGAGCGGTTCCTCTGCCCTTCGGGATCTCTCCGCTTTGCCCCCGCCCCAGCCCCTCCCCGCCGCTCTCCCTGCGGTGCGATGTAGGTCACGGTACGATCCGGGCGGCTATTTTTGTCTGGGAGCTTTAGCAGAGGTATTAATAATAGATGCCGCTAAAGTGTTCGGCTCCTGCTAATAACGGAGCTGAATGGAAGGAGCCGACAGGAGAGAGCTGGGGGCCTCTCGAGCCCCACGGCTGCTGCTTCCCGCGGGGAGCCCCGCCGGAGGCACCCCACAGATGGGACTCCGTAGAGGGCACCCCATAAAGGACACCCCGCAAAGGAAACCCAATAAAAGGCGCCCCACAAATGGCTCCCTGTAAAGGGCACTCTACGAAGGACATCCCACAAATGACACCCCACAAATGGCACCCCGATAAAGGACACCCCACAAACGACACCCTACAAATAACAGCCCGCGAAGGACACCCCACAAGTAGCACCCCACTGAGGACACCCCGTAAGAGGCACCGTGCAAATGACACTCCACAAATAGCATCCTGCAAAGGACAGTCCAGAAAGAAGTCCATGTAAGGGACACCCAACAAAAGATACCCCACGAATTGCACCCCATAGAGGACACTCCACAAAGGACACCCCACGAAAGACATCCAATAGAAGACACCCCACAAAACGACACTCCACAAACAACACCCCGCAAAGCATACCCCACAAATAACGCCCCTCAAAGGACACCCAGCAAAGAACGTCCAATGCACGATACCCACAAACGACACTTCCTCTGACCCCCGCCCCGCGGGACCCTCCGCTCACAGTTCAGCACTGCGGGGCGGGACAGCGGCCCCGGCCCCAACCCCCGCCCCCCCCCCCCCCACACACACACACACAAAGCCCGAATGGGCTGCGGGCAGCCGGGAGCACGGCCCCAAATGGGAAACTCCGTGTGACACCTCGACGCGAGCAGCAACCCCGACTATGTAACACAGAAAAGAAATGCGAGCACCTCACGGCCGGGAGGGAGGTGGCATAAAGACGGGTAAACGCTGAGGGAGGGGGGACGGAACCCTTGCAAACTCTCTATGGATCTCGCATCCTCACGCCGCCCCAGCCCCAGGCAAGTACATAGTGTACCCCCAAAGTGGAGGGGATCCGGGTTACTCGGACAGCCCCGAGGCTTGGGGGAAACCCACCTGAGCGCCGGGTACTGGAGTCCAACGGCGGGTGAGCAGTAGACGCTGCAATGCATTATTATGCCATAAACCAGAAGGGCTAGGAGCGCTTTGCTACACATTGCCACTCTGTGCGGAAGGGAAAGGAAAAGCGCTGTCAAAACAACTGGTTTATGGCAAAATAATGCAAAAAATCATTCTTTTTAAAAAAATTAATTAATTTTTTTAAAAAGAATGAAAAATAAAACTGATAAGAAAATTAAAGAATAAAGTAAAATTAAAAATACAAAAAAATATAAACAATAAGAGTCCCCCACGACCCATAGAGCGCGGCGGTGCCGTCGCCCGCCCCGTCGGTGCCCTCCCGCTACGGGAGGCCCCGCGAGCCGCCTCGGGTCCTTACCATGAAACTGTGACACCCGGCACTGAGAGCGTGTGGCTGCGGAAGGAGAAGGGAGAGAGGGAAAAGGAGAAAAACCCCAAAGAGGAGGGGGAAAAATAGATCTGTCTCCCAAGTTGCGGCCGAAAAGAGTCAAAGGGCTGCCGGCATCGCCTTTCCGCTGGGCAAAGGATGAAGAAGGCGCAGAAGCAGCAGAGAGTTGTTGGATGGTTTTAGGGGAATCCACTCCGACAAAAAATAAGAGGGAAAAAAAAAAAAAAAAGGGGGGGGGGGGAAATCGAAAAGGCCAAAAAAAGTTTGCAGGCAGCCGAGCAGATCCGGAGCGGAGTCTGCAGGGGAAGGGAGCGGGGCGCGGCGCCGGAGCGCGGGGCGCGGGGAAGGGACGCGGAGCCGGCCGGGAGCGGAGGCGGGGAGCGGGCTGGCTGCGGGCGGTGCTGCCTTCCCAGCTCGCTCCCCTCTCTGCGCGCCTTCAGCCTCTTCTCCTCTCCCCGCTCGGCGGCTCCCAACTTGACCAAGCCTTCTGCAGCCCCCCGGCTGCCACGCAATTAGCGACGGAATCTTTGCAAACACCGCGCTTCGGCAGGAGCCCTCTCCGTCAACATTCGCTCCCTCGGAGGAGGACGGGCAATATTGGCTGTTGCCCCCGTGGCGGCGGACGGATTTTTATTCATGAATCAAATGCTTTTTTTTTTTTTTTTGCTTTTGCTTTTTTTTTTTTTTTTTTCTCCCCCAGTCACGTAATAATCGGGTATCAGAAAAGACGTCACCACCCCAATTCCTCAAGGAACACAGCTCGGTGTCGTCCTCCAGGATGAGCTGAACGGGAGTCATAGGGCTTCTCATAAACACCAGCTCACGCTTCACCCCCAACCCCCCTCCGAAAAAAAAAAAAAAAAAAAAAAAAAAAAAAAGAATAATACTAATAAAAAGAAATACTAATAATGTAAAAACCCACCGGTGGGAAGGGCGGAGGAGGGCGGTGCGGTGCGGCTGGCACGGAGGTTTCCCCGCGGCCCCGCTTCGCGCCCCAGCGCAGGCATTGAGGCCCCCACAGGGGACCCCATTCCCACCGGGCTTTGGAGGCGGGGAGGGTCTTTTTATTATTATTCCCCCCCTTCCCTTATTTATTTATTTATTTTTCTATTGGAGGATTCTCAGTGTTGTTCTCACCCCCCACACACATCCCCGGGGGAAGGCAGCAGTTCGGAAACCGCACCGCAAAAGTTGCTTTGCGGGAGGGAAATCCTCGGTCCGCGTCCCAGCCGCGTCCCCGCGGAGCTCTGAGCGCATCCTGCGGCTCTCGGCCCCCTCCGCGCCCCCTCCATTCATTTCCGAGAATTACCCCCGGAGATAGAGGTTGCAAGAGCCATTACCGCACATTTTAATTATTGGGATCATAAGCAGAGAGTTCAGGAAGCGGCAATAATTTCGTTCTCCTGTTTCCTTATTGGAATGGGTTGTTTTGTTCTTGTGTTTGGGTTTTTTTTTGTTGTTATTTTTTTTTGTTGTTGGTTTGGTTTTTGTTTTGTTTTGTTTTGTTTTGTTTCTGGCTTTTTTTCTTTTTGGTGTAACGCGCCGCGATGAGTTATTGGAGCCCGGATTGATTTCTCAAAAACAACGGCAACAAAAAACACAGCAGACAATTACACTGCTATTACGGTCGTTTACTCTTGCGAGATTTTCCGGAGATAAAGGAAATTTAGAACCGATGAATGATTCCCCTCGAAATGGCTGCGGACGGACGGCAGCGCGCTGTTCGTCGGGCCCCGCTCCGCGCCAGGAGGGACGGGACGGAAAGGGCGTGGGCCGCGCTGCGGGGCCGCTCCATCGCAGGGGCTTCCCCGGCGGCGGGAGCTGCGCGGGAGCGGAGCCAACGCGGAACGGAGTCCGTGAGCGGAGGGCGCCACCGCGCGGCCGCCGCCGCCGTCGGGAGTACTCGGAGAGCCCCGTCGGGGGGCTGGGGAGGGGGAGCCGGGAAGTCCTGGCCCTCGGCGTGAGGGCTGCTGCGCAGGGGGTGTCAGGCTTGGGGGCGGTTGGGTTTGGGTTGGTTTTGGGCTTGTGGGTTTGTTGTTTGAGTTTGTTGGTTTTTTTTTAATTATTCCTGTGGTGTTCCTGTGTTTCTGAGTGACGCCGGGATGGTGTCTGTGGTGAACAGAAGCTGGTTTAGGGCAAGTGAGTAAGTTGCAGGTGATTCATGCCAATAAAATGCTCATCGCATCATAGCGTGCTCCGCGTGTGTGCAGTGCAGATATGCCTATGGCACGACCACCACTTAGGCTGAGTAAGTAAAGGTTTAAATCTGGCCTCCACGTTGAAGTACTTTTCTAGGTAGCTCTGTAATTCAAGGCTGGGAGAGATTTCACGTTCCCAATGCTTGTCTCCAAAGCAAACTCCTAAGGCAGGATCCAAAGAAAAGTAGTTTTTTTACTGGCAGAATTTCCTTCATCTTCTTCCCATTAGTTTAAATTAGGCCTTCTAATTTACCTGACTACACTGTTTTAAAGATCTGCTTTATTAACTAGAGCATTAACATTCTGAAGGTATTTATGGTGGTGCTCGCAGCCTCTGAGCCTTGTTAAGCCTGACTGGGACTAACTGCTGTAAAGTATATGATGCAACATTGCATCACCTACCACGATGGGCACCTTTTCTGCTATTCAGAAAAAGTCTTTTTTTTTTTTTTCATATTTATGCATATTAAAAAATATATCCAACTGCAGTCTATCAAACTGTCAGGAACTATATATATATATATATATATATATATATATATAAAGGCAGATGACATCTCACACACACCTGTTGCAGGTGCAGCCACTCTGCTCATGTTCTCTCTGTATGTCCCTGTTTTTCTATAAGGAACACGGAAGACTGATGGAACTGGACTATGTAATCTTATGAAAGGTTGTTCATTTTTCCTCCAGTGTGTAAAGGAACGAGTACTTCTTTATCTGAAGCAAAGAGCCCTACCAGCTCTCTCTCTCAGGCACACCTCTATGGATTTATCAACTTCTTGTTTTTACCTTTCATAGAATCACAGAATCATAGAATGGCCTGGGTTGAAAGGCACAGCAATGATCACCCACTTTCAACCCTCTGCTACGTGCAGGGTGGCCAACCAGCAGACCAGGCTGCCCAGAGCCACATCCAGCCTGGCCTTGAATGCCTCCAGGGATGGGGCATCCACAACCTCCTTGGGCAACCTGTTCCAGTGTGTCACCACCGTCTGTGTGAAAAACTTCCTCCTAATATCTAACCTAAACCTCCCCTGTCTCAGTTTAAAACCATTTCCCCCTGGTCCTATCACTATCCACCCTCATAAACAGCCTTTCCCCAGGCCTCCTACCTTAGACGTGGCTGGGAAGTCCATGGCTCTGCTCACGGGCTTTGATGTCTGCATCAGCTCAAAGAGCAAAGCTGTTACCCAGAGTTTTCATCCACTTGGGGACATCCTGGAGTGGAGGTACAAGCTACAGATAAGCAGAGTGCAACAAGCAGGATCAGCATTTGGGCTGTAGCTCTAGAGACCTGTTGAACAAGGAAGGATCTGAGGCACAAATTTAGCCTAAAATCCCAGAAGGGGAAGGAACATGTAGATGTGGCACCGAAAGACATGGTTTCGTGGGCAATATTGGTGGTAGGTGGAGTATTGGAGCAGATAATCGTAGAGGTCTTTTCCAGCCTTACTGATACTATGATTCTATGAAATGCATTGGCCTGACCCAGAGGCCTCTCTTGCAGACTGGTTCCATACCATTCTTCACAGGTGACTCTTCATAAGTGCTAGACAACTGCATCCCACAGCAAATTCTTTTGGAGGACTTTTCCAATAATTCCTTGCTGTCTTTTATGACCTTAACTCTTTTTCCAAGCAAAAGCTTGAAGGCCATTCTCAAGCACATTCAGAGAAAAAGGACTGCTTTTTTCTCCCTTTCTGAAGTGATGAGGCACTGCAGCATTCCTCAGGCCGGTAGTGTGGGCATACAAGGTGCAGTCACCCTGCTCTTGTCCCTGCTCAGAGCTCAATGGTGACAAAGGCAGAGGCTCAGCAGCACCTTGCCAGCCTGCCTACACAAGAGCTCAGTGCTCAGCCCAGTGTGATGGGTGTTCTTACCCCCATACAGTGAAATAAGAGATGCAAAGGAGGTCATTCCTATCAAAACACAAAGGCAAGGAGAGCACTTTCTAGATTAATGGAAAGCCTAACTGCAACTAACAAGGGGGTGCCACTATGCCACACATGTGGCAGCTAATTTCCTTGGGAGACCAATAGATGTATTTATAATTTCCCATTTTTTCACCTGGATAAATTTGTATTTCACAGGAGAATAAAAATATCATTTTCCTGGATCCTTTTTAAGAACTGTTCTTCGATCAATCATTTGAACAGTAGAGAAATAAATTATGAAAGGCAAACAAGACCGAAAAGTCACCTTTTGGAGATGTAATGTTCTATGGGCCCCTCCTCTATGCTAACACTAACAACTTGCATATTGTCATTGCAGGCCTTGACTGCAGCCCATGGGAGGAACAACAGCCTCTGGTGCTGGCAGCAGACCCAGGCCTGTTCCCACCCTTATTTCCATTTGTGTTCAGGGGAGAATAAATCCATAAATAGATGGAATAAGCAAACTTTCACAGAGCTGAGCTGCTGAGCTACGATCATTTACACCAGACAAATACTAGCCACGATTTCTCTGTGCTCCAGGTTGTTTGTCACAACACTGTAACCCAGTGTGAATGACAAGTACCAGTTATGTACCCAAATGTTATAGGGTTTAGGGAACACCTTTAAGGTCAGAGGCGCTGCCTCATACCCATGTCCAGAAACTAAAACACATCTGTAGTTTTGAGGTATCACTAATGGCATCACTAAGGTTATTCATAGTTTAGAATTACCAGAAATAGTTGGAACAAATTAATAATGAATTAGAACATTTCTTAGCGTTGCAGGAGCCAGGGAGAATAAATAGAATCATCTATATTTTCCTATCACAAAACAGCATGCAGCCTATTACAAAACACCAATCTGGCGGTGCTGGTGCTAGAGGAGTGCCAGATCCTGGCAGTGCAGTCCCAGGTGGAGAGCCCAGTCCCTAAAGGGATTGTGTGGGGCAGCCTGGGGTGGGAGGGGAGGGATGAACCCATAAGAGAGGGGGTGAGGACCGATCCCACTGCAGTGGAGCTCAGCCCACCATGGCCAAACATCACTCAATAATTCCAATTAACCTCTCTGAAGATGGCAGAGGCTGGTGACACAGAGCCTGGTGTCAGAGCAGCATATTGCACTGACAGACTCACAAAAGCTGTCTCATTAAGGAGAGTGAGAAAGGAATATAAGACCTCCCTAGGCACTCTGTGCACCCC